TAGGAAACTTTCCCAAACAGTCTTCAGACTATCATAAAAACATATTATAAAGTCAGAATCCTCGTTTATTAGCATTATGACACTAAGACATGACAAAACTACAACAAGATTAGAGCTGTTAAAAAAAAAAACCCTCTGCCTATTGAAGAGTAATTCCATGTCAGGCAGTTCACAGAAGAGATCAAGTAAAAAATTGCTTCAAAAAATTAATTTCTCATATATTACTAAATTTCCTAGATTCTAACAATTACTTTTTGCAAAGAAATCATATTCCATAACCTGCTCAGTGTAGAAAAATAAAAACCAATTTCCTTTTATTTGATATGTTGATATGCTGTGATCACTAGTATAGTGTCTAATAATGGTAAAGTGTATCACTATCAAGCTGGGGAGATAACTCAGTCAGTAAAGTGCTTGCCTCACAAACATGAGGACCTGAGTTTGAGCCCCAGAATCCAAGTAAAAAAAGCTGGGCATCATGGTACATGCTTGTAATATCAGAGCTGGGAAGATGAGCGAGCAGATCCCAGCCAGCCTACCCTACTTGGCAAGCTCCAGTCCAATGAGAGACCCTGTCTCAAAAACACGAGGTTGACAGCTCTGAGAGAATGACTTCTGAGGTTATCCTCTGACTCCACATGCATGTGTACACATGTATACACACACCCACAAACATACTTGCTTTTGAACACACACATACAAATCCAATATCAAAGTAAGTATTTTCCATTATCTTTAAAATACTATGATATCTAGTTGCTGGTAGGATAAATTACATATGCTGATTGTGGCTTATGCACCAAGTACTTCTAATACGTTTTTCATTATTTGAAATAATAAAAGTTCAATGTAGTAACAGACCGACCATATGAGCCTTAGTTTGTTATAATCGTGTAAACAAGAAATCACTTCAACTAATCAAATATTTGACTTGCACAGCTGCCACAGGCACTTAGTCTATAAGCATGTGCAACTCAACACCATACACAAGTTTACTCATTGCCTATTTGGGGATCTTTAATGCAATTTGTTTGGCACCACTGTTCTTCCTGCACAAAGCTCCATAGACTCGACATAGAAAGCACAACATTCAGCAATGATTGTTACAGAAAGCCGCCTACTTCTTTGTGGTGGGAAAAGCAGGTTGAAGTATCAAAGTACAGAAAGAGTTTGATTGAAATAGCCTCCTGAGTGATTAAAGGCTCAAAAATGTTACTGTGAAAATCAGCCAAGCTTGGAGATTATATAAAAAAAATCCCCGAAGTCTTTGTGCTCGTTAGTTAGCTGCCCCAGTGAAACGAACACATGATTAGGTAGCTTGCACCTGTCAGGCAAGTGACAGTAATCTCAGAATTGATTATCCTGGGAGAGTGTTAGACTAATTATATCAAAAAAAGAGTAAACAGGAAAAAAACAACTCTTTGATAACACTGCTGCCATCAGAAATGTCACATACGTATATGCACAACGTCATCAAAGTTCTACCCTCGGAGCATCATCCTTCCAAGTGGGTCATGAAAGCAGCTCTTCACACCAAAACTCTCGCCAGAGCTATTTTCAGAACAGATTTCAGTCATGCAAATTAGTTTCCAAAGTCTTATTAATATGCACAAGGGCAGATCTATTAAAGACTGTTCTCAGCCTTCAGGTCTCTCTCCTCTACTTCAATGGCCAAGGTATACCTAGGCATGGTGGCTCATTCCTATAATCCTAGCACCCAGGAGACGGGTAGAAAGATTGTTGTGAATTCAAGGACAGCCTGGGATACAGAGTTAAGTTCCAGGTCACGCTGAGCTAAAATGAGACCCTGACTCAAAGTAAGCAACAAACAAGCATTTTTTTAAAAAGCCAAGGTGACTGGGATACATGGCAATAATGCTCAAGGGAGCCTCAGTTCCAAGGAGAGGTGAATCAGAATCTAGGGCAAGATGGGAAAAATTTTATCCCATATCCTGTGCTTCCTTCCTTGGTATGTGTGGTGGGATCTTACTCGTCTGTCCACTTCTCCTCATTCCACCCTTGGAGAGTGTTACTTGACTGATGACTTTGGGGAAAGTAATTTTGGATAGACACATTTCTATTCTGCTTGAGAGCGAGCTATTTGTGGATTGAACATACTTTGCTCCTTCATATAAGACTCTAAGGTATCCCCATGAAGAAGCCGGAAGTGGTCAAATAACATGTGGAAGGGCTAATAAATTTCTTACTCGAAAGACCACTGGTCCTCACATAGGAAGCCACATCCTACGATAGCAACTTTGTGATTCGTAAAGTTGGGTATGTTTCCATCTTACTCTTGTGTTTCTCAATAAGCTAGAATTCAATCCAGGAATGGGGTGCTGAGGTCAGGCATGTCACAATTCTCTAGTTTCTGGAAGGGTGGGAAAGTCCTTTGAAAAAAATCCTCTTACACGATTCCAACACACTATACCAGGGACAAATCCATAACCATTTCTTTATCTGAATTCTGTCTTGCTTTGATGGCTTGTTTGTTGCCTTTTTGAGACAAGGTTTTATTTATAGTCTAGGCTGACCTCAAACTCATGATACTCCCTGCTCAGCCTTCTGAGTTCTAGTACTGTGGTCATGTGCCAACACACTTGACTCTTTAACTGAGTTCCTTAATGGTTCTTTCCTTATATTATTTAAATATTTGCATCCCCCTTTCTCCCACTGCATTACTTTACACTTTCACCAATAGTGGATGAGGGCTCCCCTGTCCCACACCCTCACTTGCATTTGCTGTTATTTGTTTGCTTAAAGATAGTCGTTCTGAGCCCAAGCAAGTGATGAAGGTCTGTGTAAGTTTGTTATGATACATAAAGGGTGAGACAAAAATAATATACACATAATTTTAAATTTTCTAAGGTCATAGTTTAGTCAACTAGTTCAAGGAACAAAATATATGTCTAGTAAAGGTTTATCTGAGAACGAATGTTTGGTTTTTCCCCAAGCTTTATCTACATAGCACATGGTAATTAAAAGTACCAGATTGGTGGAACTTACATTCTTGGATGTTTAGCAGCCATACTTTGAGTCATATACTAATCTAGTCAGAGGGACTTAAAAGACAGTTTTTGTTCTTGCCCTCCAAGGTTGACTAAGTTCCAGGGGACTATGGAACATCTCTC